GAAGGGTTTGATATTAATTGACTTGAGGAATTTCTCAAATGATTCGATTGTCATTTTACAATCAACGACATTGTATTCGTGTAATTTGGTGAGGATGTTATTATCTGTCGAAACCTCATCTGTTTTAAAGGTTCGATTTATATATTCACTTTCAGGCTTATGCATTTCTTTATTTGGTCTGCAAATTTATTTTTTTTAGTCAAAAAAAAAAAATATGGTGCCATTACTTATATTGAAATAGTCTTTATAATATGAAACATTAATAATATTGGTGTTACATTTTTTGTTCTGAATAAATCAAGTTTATACAAAGATCATTTTATTTTTTAAGTATTTATTTATTACGATACGATTATTATGAACAAGTTGATGTTTGTTATAATACTGAGTATAATAATTATAATAACCACGCGCTCTTTCACAAGAAATGTGAGCGTAATAGACGGGTGCTGGTATACTTACAAAACGCGTGCAACGTACATATATACAACAAAGATAATATGTTAGAGATTGAATTACATCCGGAGTAAAATTATTTTCATCATGAATTACATGATAATGTGTGGGGCGCGAGGTTCCTTGCAGACCACCTTGACTTATTAAGAAAAATCATTCTTATTTGGATGGGTAATATCCGAATCCACAACCGTTCCAGATAAACAGTTACCAGTCTTATTATCACCAAGTTTAGGATCTATGGGAGCAAGACGTATATGATGTCGTTTCTGTACGATAACTACTGTTAATTCTGGTTTATAGGAATCCGACAGATCATGACACGCGTCTTTTATTGCTTTTACTTCATTATCCAACACTTGTTCAAATTGGCCTTCGGAGACACCGTCTCTATAGAATATGATTCATTGTGGTTTTTGTTTAGTGTTATTTTTGAAATCCATTAATGCTTGTGTAACCAAATTTTTCATATCCTGAATAATTTCTACGCGTCCTCCTTGAACATAGGGATATTGATTATATTCGATACCATCTAGATCCTTTGAAGTACAAAGAGAGGCGATAGAAACCCCCTTTGTGCTACCTGGACTTGGATGTGTAACATCAGCACCCATGATGATTGTTGGTGAATCATAAATGAATGGAGTAGAAGTTTTTGAAAGATGATGACTTCTCCCTCCGTTTTTCGTATTAATTTTAAGAAATAGATTATTAAATGTAACATTATTCGCTTTAAAGAAATTTTTAGATACTATACATTGGGAA